ACATTTTACATGTCTCTCCCTTATCCTATCTCTTTCTGCCAGCGCAGCAACCAATTAATCTTCTCTTTTTTGCTTTCTGCCAGTTCAGCAATGAGTTCATCATCTGTCTCTCCTTCGCTCGCTGCCAGGTCAGCAATTATGGTACTAACTGATCATTTAAGCTCAGCCATATTCCAGCCCCGATCTCCCTCTCTGTGACGCTCACCCGGATTGATCAAATGCACTCCGAACCTCTTCTCTCTGTGGGGAAACTTTGATGCCAATGCAAACCATGGAAAAAGTTGACGACATCACAAACCATCCTCGTTGAAGGAGTTGGAGCGAGAGGAGCAGCAAGAGTGTTAGGAGAAGAAGACGGCAGAAGAGGAGAGGAAGAACGAGGAGCAGCAGCAGCAGAAGAAGAAGAAGAAGAAGAAAGGAGGAACAAAGTGCAGAAGAAAAAGAACGGGGGAGGGGTCGGGGGCGAAGATGCGTCCCACGGCCGCTTGCTTGATGGTGACCGCGGCTCGCGGGGCGGCAACGGAAATCCTGGGTCAGAACGTGACGAAAGCCGAACTAAGGTCCCACTAGCAATGAGATGATTGTTGCCTGGATCTTGATGTGTTTGTGGACAGGTGCAGAAAAGCACGACTGATCTGCATTTCTGCATCTCTGCTCAAAACCGAACCCATCCAGATTCGGGCGCTTAATCCAATCCTCTTTGCTGATGGGATCCAGCCCCCGAGCTCCTCTTTTCGCTGTCCTTTTTCTTTTTTTTTAAAGCTTCACTTTGATTCATATGTGCTTACCTGGGGCCAGCCAGGGACACGTAGGGCTTTCCGGGCTGGAACCCCTCCCTGCAGTTTTGTGCTCGCCTGCCTGGCAACCAATCTGGGCGGGCGGCCTGGCCGGGCTTACCGGGCGACTTCTGTGCGGATCTGATCGGACCTGGGGAGCTTTGCTGGTTATGCAGCTGTTCGGTTGGCTGTAGGGCCGTGCAAAGCAAGGGGTGAACTTTGCAGGGGGCAAAACAGCGGTTGTTGGGAGTAGGTAGAAGTCCATCTTGGGAATTTTGGGTGAATGGCCCCTTTAGAAAAGGTAGTGCAAGAGGCCGAGGCCCAGGCCTGCATACCATTCCACCTGCGGCTTTGAGGCCCAGGTCTGCTAAACGAGACTGCGCTGATGAACGGCCCCTTCAGAAAACATAGTGTAAGAGGCCGAGGCGTAGGCGTGCACACCATCTGACCTGCCGCTTTTAGGCCCAGGTCGAGGAAGTGTAATGAACGCAGTCTGGAGTATTCTCGTCAAGTGTCGAAGTTCAAGAAACTCAGCGCTGAATAAAGTCTCCGATGCAATGTCTCGTAACCATTAGACAAAGAGAGGAGGGGGAGAATAGACTGTTTAGAGGGTGGAAAGGTAAGTATCCATCAATGACCAGTGAGATAGTAGCCCCTCATTTCCCTCTCCTTCTCCGGGCTTCCAGTGTCCAAGAAACGAGCCAGACAGGGCCTGATCACATCAGAGTGCCATGTGGCACAGTTCTTCCGTGAAGACGTTCAGCAGTTCACTGTATCGACATCAACAGCAGGCAAGTATCCTCTCTCTCTCAATCAATCCACAGATCCCGATCTCCCTCCTTGTCACGTCCAACTCAGCAATGAAGACAGTGTGGCCAATGCCATGTCAGCAATGTCGAAGACAGAATGGCATGCGCCACATCAGCAATGTAACCAGTGTGGCATGTGCCACGTCAGCATGTGGGAAGACAGTCTGGCGCCAACGCAAGAAAGTGCCAGACACACGATGCAGCAGTCGCGCGTCGTTGTCGCACAGTGCCAGAGTGCTGCCAGCATTAAGCCAGCGTTGCACCATCGTCTAGCCAGCGTCAAGCCAGAGTCAAGTCAGCATGTCTAGCCAGCGTCAAGCCAGAGTCAAGTCAGCATAGCAAGACTGAATGTTGACTCCCGGAGGCAGGGGCCTCATGTAGCGTTTGACGAGGTTGGCCTGCCTCAGGTCTCCCACCCACGGAGGCTCCGATTGACTCACAGCCGACGGCCTGGATCTCATACAGTTGCCGACTTCGACTTGGGCCGAATGCTGTCTTCATACCTGCATACAAACAAGTGTGTGTCTGACCGGAGGCTTGGGCTGGGTCCATGCAGACTTTGAGTCGTGGCCGCTGGGCAGTTGACTAAAGTCGACTGTCGGGCACGCTGGGGCCCTGAAGCCATTTTTCAGGGGGGTTGTTACCCTCGATCGTCGAGGCCTGAGGCCGGGGCCATGGCCTGCGGGTGCCCCTCAGACAACAACGGGGCACGTCGAGCGGGTTATTGCAGAAGTGAGAGTGGGTTGTCTTCGACAATTTGTTGTGCTAATGATAACTGATGAAACATCTGAGCTGATCTTTTTGAATTAAATTCGAAAAGAATGAAACAAGAATCCCATCATGTCAAAAAGGAAGAGATGGCTGCAAAAGAACACATTCTTTTCTACCTGCTGCTACTGGTAGGCCCATGCTACGATACTGGCTATTTCCGAAGTGCAAATTCACAAGGAAAGACGATTTCACCCAATTGTGAAAGAAATGAAAGCACTTGCAAAGAGATAGACCAAAGAAGAAGAAAGAAAGAAAGAAGAAGAAAGAAAGAAAGAAGAAGAAGAAGATGTACACCAGCAAGACCAATGACAAAGACCCCTTCTCTCTCCACTCTCCTCGTCCTCCTTGTCTCTGCCAATCATTGATTAGGGGAGTCTGCAGACTGTAGAGGGAGGGCTCAGCCTTGCGACGAGTCGGCGACTCCGACAAAATGGGCTGTCACAGACCCTTGTTTGTTGTCCTCCTCTCCCTCTCTGGTGCTGCTCAGTGAGCAGTTGTCTATGATGATATATGTATATCTGCTTGCCGATTTGGCACCGCTAGAGTGCACCACAGGATCTGTGGGGAAAAACCGCCCGTGATTTGTATGCTAGAGCAGAGAACTGGCCAGAAGTAAAGGGGTTGTAGCCGGAGTGACCAGAATATGACAATTTGTTGCCCTTGAAGATGGAATGGAAGGAAATTGTTATGTGACTGATTGAAACTCCATCCAACACAGCATCGACATGTTCTCGTAAACATGCGAGATGACAAAGTAGGCTTGGGGAGGACTTCACAACTAAACCAGACTGAGATATGCAGCGGAAGCTCAAAATTCCATAAGAATTGAAGAAGATATCAAATCACAGTTCCCAGTCCCTCTCCTGTTCAACCAGCTCCACACAGAACCCAGGAATCCCAGACAAGAATGCCGAACCTTGAATGAACTTAAAACACAGCCTCAGCAAGCTTCAGGAGTCTACCTCCTCCCGTCAACCTTCACCTTCCCGAGCTAAGGCACCCAGCATAAAGATGCAGCACCTAGCCCTCAGACCACCAGCCCCTCCCTGCCGACGACATAACCCCAGCTTTCCTCAGACAAAGTCAGATGAGACAGTGTTGAGTCAGAGACCCTCCAGGATGAACTGTTCCAGCTCCAGGATGAAGAAGGAAGCTCCAGCTTGAAGAAGAATAAGCAGAACAGATGCGACCCAGAAGAAGATATGGACGCGCCTAACCCCACAGCACAGATATGATGGTGCCAGGCTCAGCACCTGAAGCGCATGCTTCAGTGCTGCAGTATGACCCTAGCAGCAGCCGCCCAGCTCTTGCACTGCTTCGGCAGCCTGGCAGCATCAACACTGTCTCCGACAGCAAGTCGCCTCAAGAGACCAACCGGCCAACTCACCAAAGATCAGAGACCTAAACATCCCTAACATGACGGACTGGCTCTATTTATAGTTCAGCCTAACCTACCGGACCAGACTCCTAGGACCTAGGACACAGCTGACAGTTATGAATCTGTGTTTTTCTAGGGAGTTTACAGGAATGTCCCTGTCGGTTGAGGCCTGTTTCCAGTTGGACCCAGAACTCAGAAGAATTACCAAAATACCCTCCTCAGTGTGACAGCCCACCGAGACACTGCAAGAACATTGCAAGGAGTTGACGTTGATCATTGCTGCGAAAGGGCTTTAGGGGATCAGGTGAACACGTTTGGCGATATGATCAAATGGATGTGTGATGTTATGTTGAAGTCTTTGATTCGGTGGCAATAGGGCATAAAATGAACGTGTTTGTCCAATTTTGTTGGTATCACCAAAAAGGTGTGTGGAGTTTAGGAGGACCTGGAGAAGGAAAAGAATGAAAGAGATTCAGGATGTTGATGTTGAGGTGCTTCGCTTGGGAAGGTTTAGATCATCGGATGCATGTGATTGTCGATGTGACCAGAGGGATGTGTATGCGCATTGAGCTGAAGGCTTGAGGTTGTGAATTTGTCTGCCTGGCTTGCTATTGTGGTGTGCTTGTGCTTGCAGGCCACAGCTGACAATTGCAACTGCAATAGTGTTTTGCCACCGATTCTTTTTGCGGCAATCGCATAGACTAAATGACAGATTTGTAAGTTGCCAGGCAATGCCACCTTGCTACTGCACACCCTTTAAGTTGACAGGGTGGGGCATAATGGAGTTGCAAGGCTGTTCTGTATCTCAATTCTCTTGTGGCTCACAGGCACTGGGACACCTTGTGCTATTCTTTTTTTTTTCGGGGGGGGGAGGGGGGAGGGGGGGTCCATAACCCTGCGGGATGCCAACCCCGAGGGTATATAATTGCCAGGCGCAGCAGGGCCAATACCCGTGCGCACCAGCCACAGGCAAGTACAAAACCCTTGTCCTATTCTATTTGGTCTTGCAGAAATTTCTAGCTTGCACTCAGAAGAGGGAGGAGGGGTTTGATATGAGTCAACAAACTGATATTATGAAACACAGTGCTTTGGCTCTTGGCAGAGTCTTCTGTTGTGTGCTTTGTTTGATGGGTTTTATCCGTGTCTCAATCATGCTACTGGTAGAAGGCATGTCAGTGGTGGTGAAAGCTGTGTGGGAGGGAAGTCACTGTACAGTACAAAGTTTTGGTAATGATAGCAGGCTGAAGCGTGAAGTCAAAAAACCACTGAGTATGGAGTATGTCTTTTAAGGGAATGATCGAGTGTGCAGTATGCGTTTTCACCATATCTCAAGGGAACAATGAATGTGCAATGTGTACTTTCCATCTTACTTCCTTTTCAGATGTCCAAGTTTGTGGTCTGGAACATGTCCACATGCTTATTGACCCAATAATTGGGGTGTGCATGTCATTCTGATTGTTTGGTTTAAAACACTCCCCAACATGTTTGTTGCATACGCCCTTATTCGCACTGTTCAGGCATGTTAGCACTGCAAGCAATGGTGGCTGTAAGAGAGATCAATGGCTTCGAGATGTTTGATGATACACACGATATATTGGCTGCCCTTTCATAATCGGTCTGTCTTTCGCTGAGACTGAAATGCTCCAGTCGCATTAAGTGTTGCATCCATTGTTAATCCTAGTGTTTCCTCTATAATTGGACATTTTTTTGTCTGCCAGTACTTGTCAGAGCCATTGTTTGGCCTTCAATGTCCATTTTGTTCTTTTCAGTCTTTTATGTTGTGGTTGGAGTAACATGTTCATTATCATGCTTGTGGCTATGCCCATTGCTGTGACTGGTATGTAACCACTTCCCTTCCTGGTTTAGATTCTGGGCTTTTTTTTGGTGCACCGGCACTCGTCGCTCGTATTGTTGCCATGCATTTTAGCTGTCTGCGGCGATGTTGCATGTGTACTTTGCCCAGGGTGCATCACATCATCCACCACATCTTGCATGATATGCGACAGCTTTCCTGCGTTTTACAGAGCCGTCCCTCAATAGGGAGGTGTTTGTACTTGATTGTGAAAAAGGGTTTGTCTGGAAGGAATGGGATCTGCTGGCGTGATTGCTGCATGGGTCAGGAAGATGATGCCAGGGTGCGGATTGGGCTACGATTGCCGTTGATGAGGGGATTACATTAGTGTCTTCGAGCATGCTTATCATTGATCTAAAAGCCACTGTGATCTGGACAGCATTTATTTCTGCTCTGCAGGACTCGATTGCCGGGCTCAATTGCCTTGGCATGGTCTTTTGGAGTTCGAGTGCATTTTTCGCGATGTGCCGGGTGGGCTGATTGGTTGGTTGGTCCATTGATTTGCGAATTGGTGCGTTTAACTGTTGCACAGACTAGACTGTTGTATTAAAAACCAGCTCAGTGTTGATCGTCTCATATACAAATTGTAGACTACTAGACTGTTTTATAAAAAACCAGCTCAGTGCTGATTATCTCCAATACAAATTGTAGACTGCATGAGTGATCATAAGCTGCTACAAACTACTCTCGTGGTTTTGGTTGGTTGGCTGGCGAACTGTTGGGCAAGTGATTGTGTTGGATTGGTTAGGTTGTTCAATTGGTGCTTGGTCGGCTTCCTGTCCACGTATTTACTGGGGCTGGATATGATGGGTGGTAATCAATGGCTCTATACTATAGATTGGCTCGTTTCCTTGACGGCTGAACACCAGTGCATGGTTTACAAACATGGCTGGGCAGCTATCTGGATGGCGGTGTGGATGGTTGGTTGAGTGATTGGTTGGCCGGTGGCCTAGAGTGTCGATGGGTCATCTGGTGGGTTGGGGGTGTGGTGATGGCATTTCCTATTCGATGTCCTTCGGCACTGCATATGGAGGGAGGAAACTAGTGGCTGCCATCTTTTACAGTGGCCTTGTGAAAGATACTGATTAAGTCATTTGTCCTTCGCAGCTGGTTGCCAAGTGCTCCTGAAAGCAGCCCCTTGAAAACAGGAGAGAGAATAGTGAGAGCGATTGCCTTGTAGGTGTAGACCATACATGTCTAATGGCGTTTTTTTCTTGTTTTTCTGGAACTTGTCCTCCTCGTCCTCCACCACACCCAATCCTTGGCCTCCCCCCCCCCCCTGCTTCTTCCCCCCCCCCCCCCCGCCCCGCTCTCCCTCGCCTTTGCCACATTCACCTCTTCTTTCTCCATGTTTTCCTCCACATGCATCATGAAACCATGCCATGGTGACCTGCTTCAAGGAGGGTGCACTAAGAGGCACAGGAAACCTAGCCTCATGGGTGACAGATGCCCCTCCCAATGAGCACATATCAAACTGCTGGGGCCATCTTCACCTTCATCCATTTGTAGATGGTTGTTAATTGCAGAGGCAGTAATAGTTTGTTAAAGGGACGGGCAGGCCTCTCATGCTGTAATGCCACGGCTTCAGTGCTGTGAGGCTGATAGAGCACTGGGCATGTTCTCATGGCCCGCGGCAGATGATTGCCACCATCTGTATGTTCCTGGCGGGGAAGGTGGAGGAAACCCCCCGACCGCTGAAGGATGTAATACTTGTCTCCTATGAAGTGCGGCACAAGAAGGACCCAGTGGCACTTCAAAAAATCAAACAAAAGGTAACCCTTATTACCCCCTCTTTCACCCTCTCCTGTCTCCCTTTTGTTCCCCTCTAATCCTTCTCCTTCTCCTTCCATACCTCTTCGCCGTCGCCTCTCTCATACCTTCACAATCTTTTTTTGAATCTTATCGTAAACCCTTCCCACCACTCTTCAATGTCCTTCACTGCTCTCCCCCTCCCCCTTCCCCCCCCCCATGTATACATCTGTACGCATCCCGCCGCCTTCCACTCCATTCCGCCCCTCCCGTCCCCTCTTTCCTCCAGTCTGTTGCTGTCCTCCTCTTTTCCTGTCCTCAGCTTTGTTCCTTCCTCTCTCCTCTCATGACGCTGCCATTGTGCCTTGCCTCCCCTTGCTTTTTCCCCCTCTGCCTTTCCCTCGTCATTGTTTCTTTCCTCCCCGCTCCAATGTTGTGGTTAATCCTGATTTTTTTTCCTCTTTTTCGTAATCGCCATCACATATGTGAATGTATAGAAGGCAGGGGAACCTTTCTTCCCAGGTTGAAATGCTTCCTGCTGTTGCCAGCTGATCTTTGCCTACAGACTGCTTGCCCCTCCCATTTTGCAATGGTCGTGGAGGACTGTGTTGGTGATTACTGACTGCCAATGACGGACTGAAAGTTCCGTAAAATGGCTGGTAAACAACTGAGAATTTTTTGGATTTAATATTTGTGTTGTTGAACCCAGGAAAACATGTGTAAGACTTTTAGTGCAGGCGAAGGAGGAGGAGGGGCAAGGTAAAACTGCAAGAGCAAACAATTTATTCTTATCGACGTTCTAACCTGTATCAGATTTAGCGATCAAGGTTAGTACTTAGTAGTATGTTGTTGCATACATGGGGCACTGAACACTGAATGAATACCCTCTTGACAACTCCTGCACATAGTCAAATAACATTTGGTTTGGGGTTTCACTTCCTTGTTGAAAATTGATGCCAGCCAAGTTTTCGCTGTGAAAGATATGTGCATAGCAATGACTGTAATGTCATCATGATATTAAGGGGCAAGTGCTCAGTTGTCCCTGGTTCGAAAAGCGTATAAGGGGCAATTGCTCAGTTGTCCCTGGTTCGAAAAGAGTATTTACCAAACAGGCCAGCATGTTCATTGCTGGTCACCCATGCCGGGCTGTGGCCGTCGTTTGGGAACGGTGTGACTGGGCAGCACACACAGTCCATTGAGCCTGGAACCACAATTGCTCCTATGCTTATTTTGTTGAACCTTTGTTGATTTCATAGGGCGGACGACCAAACCTTTTGAGTAACAGGTGGGCCTGCAGGTGAAGCTGCGAGGGTTTGCGTTTATGTTTGCAGCGTGCTCTGGCCATGTTGACTCATGATCTGATAGTGGAGGTCAGAGTTTGCGTGCCTCCGTCCTGAGATGACGAGTTGTTGTGACAGGAGCACGCCACAAAACTACGAAGGAGATCTTGCAGCTCACCTGAAGGCCCACAAGTGATACACAGAAGCCGTCGGTAGTCCCTGGGAAAACAATTCAGGTTCTGACAAAATAGCGCAGGAGCAATGGTTGGTTCCAAGTTCTATGTTGTTTCAGTGGTCGTGTGGCTGTGACCTCTCGTACACCTCCTTACTAGACCATCGAGCGGAGGCCTGATGCTAAATGGCTGCAATTTTGGGGTGGCCATTGGAAGTAGTGGTTTAAGGTGACACTATACACCTTTGCCCCAAGCGTCAGGACGTGGTGCATTGACAGCTGCAAAGTGGCACTAGCTCTTCGAAATTCGCATGTGGACCGCCTGTGATTCTGCTGCCGGCACAGTTGCGCCATGTGATGAGTTCTTGTGATGAAAGCTGTTATGAGTGCATGTAATGGAATCGCATGTCGACGATATGTGAGCCAGATGCTTTCTATGCAAAGTCAGATGATGCTCCTAAGATGCTGAACTGAACATAATAGGATTACCACCTAGGCTGTTATTCACTGTATGTTGGGTTTTCCAGTGGCATGTCAAACCACCAGTGCCTTTCTCAGCTATTGATGGGCCCCCTAAAATCGCCATGCGGCCAAGAAAAACAATCCAGTGCGGGTGTCATTTTGGCTGCTGCCTCCAGCCATTTCCGTCCGGTACCCGAACTGCTGAAAGTTGACCGTGTTAACCAGCGCGCATTTCTTTTTCAAGTGGGGAAAGGTACTGGTTGTTTAATATGGTAAATAAATTAAAATAATATAATAAATATTTAATGTGTAAGCACCCAAACATAACGCATGTGCGCTGTATTGGAGTTTTTGAAAAAAATAAAAATAAATAGTAGAACGCACATGCTATGCACTCGAAAATCAGGGTTGTTCGAATAGAACGCAAATACGTTGTATTCAAATGAAAAGCAACCTTTGCGTTGTGGTAAATATTTCCTGTGGAAGGGTGGTCAGATGAAGCATTTGCAAGTAGCTGTAGTGTTATCTCTGTACGTTTCTTCTCCGGTCCTGACTCACTGAACCTTTCCCTTCTGCTGCTTTAGATTCAAGTCTCTCACAATGTGGTTGTGATACAACCCGAGAAGCTGATCTTTTTGTGCTAGATGAACTTTCTCATGTGTGTGGAGCTTCGTTGATATCTCGAAACCTTTTCACTTGTTTTGTAATATATATATATAGAAAAGGTTTCGAGATATCAACGAAGCTCCACAGACATGAGAAAGTTCATCTAGCACAAAAAGATCAGCTTCTCGGGTTGAGTGGCACGAACGAGGACGGGGCTCCCGAAAATAGTGCTTTGGGATGATTGATGCGTATGGGAGTCAGTTCTTGAGGCATGAGATTTGTTTTGTGATACCTGTATGCATCTGTGTGCACGATTTACGTGCACATGGAGTATGTGCCTTCAATTCTGGACAGGATAGGTGCAAAATCTGACTGCAGATGAGCTATAGCCTCTCCATGGTTCCCAAGCATGTGTGGAAGATTGGACCCAATAAGGACCCAAGCATTAGTGAACCTTTCTCTTCTATTATTACAATTGGACGACCCAATCTAATTTCTGGCTATTCATTCCCAAGTCCAATGGGGCGTAGATCGTCCATATCAATTTTGCTACCCTCAGGACTGGAGGCCGTCGGAGGGTTTGGGAAGAGGTTGAGACAGGTATGCTGGCTGTTTTGTGCCCATGGAAATCCTGTGGGAGTGGAGTCTCTCGAAGGTTTTGGAAAGAGTTTGGGACAGGTTGGCTACGCTAGCCGTTTTGTGCCCAACGAAATCCGCTACTATTGGAAATATGCTCTTTAAAGGAATCTGGGTATTGATTGTGGTGTGAGGTTTGCCCGTGGTGCACTGTGGGACTACATTTATGTGTGCCTGCATGAAGGAGCATGGTGTTTGAAAGGGTTGCTGTGCTGCATCCTCTTTCATGCCCATCAGTTTCTGCCATGATGCAGCTAGAATCCCACCAGTGTCAGAGTGCAGCAGTCACTAGTAAATCCAATCCTTCCTTTCTCTCCCTTCGTACTCTACCTCTTGTAACATGCACAATCCCCCTTGATAGTCCCCATTTGTTACGCCCACTTGTGTAGAACGTCTGGGAGCCCACCATCTCCCTCCTTCTTTTGGTACCTAAGCCTGTGATGCAGTGTGTGGTCCCCTGAATGCTCGTCCATCCCCATGGTTGTAAGGCATGTAAGCCACTGCGCTATTGTCCATAGAACTCGATGCAAGTAAAGAATCTTGCAGTTCCAACAGACTCTACGCTTTCGTTCTTTATGCATGTGAGTCATTGTCTGGCACCTTCTGCTACTCTGCATCGCTTTGCCCGAATGCATAAAGCATACCCTCTCACACATTCTTCTAACAATCCCCCTTAGCCCTCAACCTTTTTGATCCCACCTGCTAACTGCATTTTGTGACACTCCCTTTCTCTCATGCATGTAGACCTCTCCCACATGTGAGTTATGGTACTGTGTCTCCCTCTCCCATGTGTGTTAAGCATTCTCTGGTCTCCTTTGTTACTCTCCTCCCCTCTTCGAGGTTTAAACCATTGTGCAATCCAGCTAAGACACTCTCCCTCTTTGTGCCATGAGAGTGAAGCCTTGGGACCCCCTCTTAACGCTCATCCATCCCGCATGTGTGTGAAAGACCTCGCGACACTGGCGATTGGCCCCCAGTATGTCCATCGCATCTCTCGCTTGGTTTCCAACATCTGCAAAGCGTCTCTCCACCCCCTCTTACTTGACTCTAGGGGGGATCTTGGATCTTGCAGTACAGGCTCACTTAGGGATAGGTAATGTTGGGATAGCCAGCCTGTTTCCCATGTTGACAAATAGCAAACAACTGGCAACGATCAGAATAACAAGGGTACAACCACAACAATGTGACTAGAGAGTTACAAGTTGAGGAGCGGTCTGCATGAGTTCTTCCCTCGTGAACCAACGGTCCTCCTTGGGATCAGTATGATGTCTGAACCGAACACGGTACTGCAGCTTCGGTTTCGGAGGACGTCCCCTTCCTGCAGGTCTCTGAGCTGGCAGCTCCCTGTGATCCACGATGTCATCGATGTCCACTTCTCCATCCATGGTTGGGGGCAGCATTGAGCGACGGGTCTAGGGGACGTCTATAGGTAGAGAGGTAGATAGATAATAGGCTAGGAACTCTAGGTCGCATTTACAACAACAGTGGCACATAAAAACAAACAGTGCAACAACTCAGGGGGGATAGGAATCGGTCCATGCGTTGACAAATAGCACACAACTGGGAACGATCAGAATAACAAGGGTGCAACCACAACAATGTGACTAGAGAGGGGTCTAGGGGACATCTATAGGTAGAGAGGTAGATAGATAATAGGCTAGAAACTCTAGGTCGCAATTACAACAACAGTGGTACATAAAAACAAACAATACAACAACTCAGGGGGAATAGGAATCGGTCCACCTATGGGCCTTGCAGAAGAATGACTATACCTAGTGCCCGAATTACCCGTGCGACAGGGCTTGTCTGACTATGCTTCAATCAGGGCTGTGGGGAAAGTGGGGTCCTGCTTAACCCCGGGGCCTAC